ATGGCTTGAAAATTGTTAGTTTGTAATAGTGCAGAATTTATATATAAAAGTGAGTTTCGTGTTGTTTGTGAAAGTTTTGTATTAAAAAATTGTTTTATTATGAGTATAAGTGTTTATTTGAGTTAGTTAGAAGTTGACGTAAAGCGATATGCAATAGATTTCCACAGAAAAATGAAATTTGGAAATTTTGGCGTTGGTGCTTAAGGCGCTAAATTCCCGAAAAAGCCATATTAGGTTAAAAACAACGAAATCGCCCAGTAAAGCCCCATTTTTACTGTTTGGGTCGTTTCCCACCTTTAAACCACGACTTATGGTTTGACATTGTACGGATTTGAGAAGATTTCAAGTGCCAAAGATCTTAGATTTCATCTTCTCTTGGTAAGAGCTTTACTTTAACTTTAAAATTTTTTATTTTCGCCATGGGTTTATCCTACGTTATGGGTAATCCGAAAATTAGGGAATTTGATAATAAAGTTTATAGAAAACCCATGGTGAAAAGTTTCTTACCAAATAATCTTACTAATGGAGTTAGATTTTCGATTTTGTAATTTATTTGAATTTTATTTGGATTTCCATAGAATGGAGTTAGATTTTCGATTTTGTAATTTATTTGGATTTTATTTGGATTTCCATAGAAATTCAAACGACTCCACGAGTAAAAAGAGGAAAGCCTATTGGAGATTTCAACGCGAGAAGATTTGTCAATTATAAAGCCCAACATAGTTACAACACTCAAATGGGCTCAAGAAAAAATATCCAGGAATGAGCATTTTCTAACCTGGGAGGCGAGATCGAGAAGTTGATCATCGCTAAAAATTGGGAGAGATTCTGCTACTTCACTGCAGTAGCAATTGTTCCTATGATTCTTGAGTTCTATTCCAACTTGCGATTTACTTATGATACTCACATCTTCGTGAAAAGCAAGTAAGTTGAATTTTCCAGAGAAAAGATAAATGCATTTTATGGATTGAGGAATGTGTTCCATTGTGAATATGCTGCATTCGTGATGACTGACTCATCAATGAATAAAGTAATTGCCTTTTTAACTGATGGAATGGGAGAATGAAAAATTAAGAACAATAAGAAAGTTAATTTCTCCACTTCCATGATGACTTTTTAATCAAAGGTATGTCATTACTTCATTTCTGCTAAATTGCTTCCAACGAATCATCTCAGCGAAGTAACGACGGAAAGAGCTGTGCTAAACTTCTGTATTCAGCAAATGAAGATAGTTGATGTTGGTGCTCTTATAGTACATCATGCTCGGAGTATAGTCAGGAGTGCTACATCTAGTGGTTTGGGATACCCTGCCCTGATTTTCACTTTGTGTGAACAATCACGAGTAGAGTTCATAGGAATGAAGAAAAGCTACAACCACAAAAACTTATTGGGAGACAGTCCAAGGATTTGAATCATTTGTTGAAGCCAGGAGTGGAGGAAGTGACAGGCCCTCAACATCTACTGCAGGGGCATTTACTTCCAAATCTGCTTCACTTGAGAACATTATGGAGCAGGTTATGATACAACAAATGGATATGGTGAATCTGCAAAATTGGATTGGAGCACTTGAAGCAAGAAATCTTATAATGATGAATATGAGTAGAGGAGAGTTCAACATGATATAACATATCAGAAGACTATGACAAGATATCTAAAGGGTGATTACAATGTGAAATTTCCAACTTGCCGCAATTTGAGTCCTTATGATGATGATGATGATGATGATGATGATGATGAAGACGAAGAAGAAGAAGAAGATGATGATGAGAAAGAGGATGAAGATCGATATTTTTGGAGTTTAGTTTGTTTGTTTACTTGTTTGTTTGTTAATTTGAATGTTTGTTATTTGTTGTCATTAAAATTGTTGTAGTAGGAACTTTCATTTTAATGTTGTATTGTGGACTGTAATTGAAATTGTAGATTTTTATTTTTCTTGCATTTTTAATATTTTTAGTTTCTGTTTATGTTTTTAATTCTTAGCAAATCCTTTGAAATATACTGCGTTTCATTTAATGTTTTTAAAACTGTATTTTTAAGTTAGTACCTGCAGTATACTTGAGTCTAGTTTCATATTCAGAAATCTTCTACATGTTAGTTTTTTATTTTTATGTAATTACTGTTTTCTTTCACCTTCAAAAATTTTTGTACTAAACATTTTTAATTACTTAAAAACTTAAATTTGGGGGAAAGAAAAATTTCTTTTAAAAAAGAATAAGCTAAATTTTATTTGTTCTCAATTAGCTATATTTCTTAAAATTAATTTAACATGAACTTGGATGTTAGAGTTTAGCTTTAAATGACTATATTTATGTTTGTAAATATTATGATAAATTTAGGTACAAGTTTTTAATAATAAATGTCAATTCTAAAGTTAAAGATATTTGATATGAAAGGGTAAGAATATGTTTTTTCTATTTAAAGTAAAGAAATTGTATTTTTAAAGTATTAAGAATTCTAGAGTTTCATGTAAGAAGAAAAGAATGAAACTTTATGAAAAATCATTAAAACTAATATGAATTTATAAAATAAAGAAATATAAAGAAATGTAAAGAAATGTAAAAATTTTAAATTTGAGAAGATGATAGTGAAGTTCAAAACTATTAAAGGGTATCCATATATAGTAATCCTCACTTAAAAAAAGTAAAATAAAATAAAAAAGAAGGGATTGGAAACACCTGAATAAAAATAAATGTGAGGAGAAGCTTGAGGAAATGTCTAATAAAAAATTGACTTCACTTGAATCAACTTGAGGAGAAAAAGGTTTTATTACATTTTTTAAACTTATATTTGAGTATTAGCACTCTTACTAGTAAAGTTTATAGGAAGCTCTTTTTCATATGAATATTCTAAGTATTCTTAATATGATGAATTATAATTCTTCTTGAAATAAAATTGATTCAGAATCTTAGATTTGATTACTAAATATCCACAGTTTATACATCTCTCTTCTCTGAATCAAGGCCATCTGGAGTATGCAACTTTCATTTATGCTGGAAGTCTCAAAGCTGATAGAGGCTTACATCTCATCAGTACTAATATGAAGTCTCCCTGGATGGTTGGGGGAGATTTCAATTGTATCACTTCTGCAACAGAGACATCTGGGGGGAGACCTCCTAATCTGTCCAAAATGACTTTCTTCAATGATCAGATACAACAAGCTGGTTTGTTTGATTTGGGGTACGATGGTCCTAAATTCACTTGGAAAAGGGGTTTATTGTGGGAAAGACTTGACAGGGTGCTAGTGAATGACTGTTGGCATGAGCACTATGTCCTAACTTTTGTTACTCACCTAACACTCACTGGTTTTGATCACAGACCTCTTCTCATATCTATTTCTTCCCCTAGCAATATCACATATCACCCCCCTTTCAGATATCTTAATATGTGGTCCACTCACCCCCTATTCATCAGTTGTGTTGCTTCTAATTGGATGGATATTGACCATACTGACCCTTTCATCAAACTTAGCCTCCTTCATCTAAAAACAAGAAAAGCATTGAGAAAGTGGGGTTGGGAGACTTTTGGAAATGTTTTTCCCATTGCCTTATCTGCTGAAAAGGAAGTAGAGAAATATAAAGCTACCATTCAGAATGAAACTGCCACTGAGACTGATCTGCTCACTGCCTAGACTAATCTGCTCAATGCTATTGACATACAAGATCTGTTACTCAAACAAAAAGCTTCTATTAACATTTTTACTGAAGGTGACAGAAACACTAAGTTTTACTATGCTTATATTAGATACAAGAGGAAGTGCAATACCATTCACTCTATTTACTCTTCTGAGGGTAGATGGATTAATGAAAATGATCTTATTGCTTTGGATGCTGTTAAGTACTACAACTCCTTACTGAACTCTTTAGTTGATCTAAATACTGATTATGAAAACTATTTTACTGAAGAATTAGATTACACTAATCAGCTCAAACTCACTGAACCCCCTTCTGATGATGAAATTTGGGATGCCTTAAACACCATTGACAGCTCCAAATCT